TTTTGTTTATAGCTTATTCATACATGAATATTTTTATATTCACTTATTAATACATCAAAAATTGACTTTAATGCACATTTTTTTTGTGTGTTAGGTATCGAATGGTTTTTGTTCCTTTTACTACTATTGACCATCAAATCGGTTACTGTTGGATCTGGGTTGCTAAGCAATGAAATCATTGAGTCTTACTCTTGGTTGCTTAAAGCATTTCTTAAAACTCATGGGAAAGAACCAACACTTGTTTTAACTGATCAAGATGCTGCAATAAAACAAGTTGTTCAGAATGTGTTTCGTAATTCAAAGCATCGATTATGTATGTGGCATATAATGAAAAGGTTGAAAAAAGGTAATATTTTAATATATTTCAAATATATTACGTATTAGTATATTCATTTATGAATATTGATTGTTATTTTACTTATTACTATTTATTCATTTATGAATTTTTTGTTCTAATATAGATATCAGATGATTTATTTACTAACACAGACTTTAGAAAAAGGTTTTCAAAGCTTGTTTGGGACATTAATATGAAACCTAATGTTTTTGAGGTGAAGTGGGGTTTGCTTATGAAGGAATTCAATCTTGAAGACACAAGATGGTTTAAAGACATGTTTACAATACATGATTCATGGATACCTAGATATTTAGTGATATTCCAATGTGTGGTTTGATGAAGACTACATCGAGGCCAGAGAGTATGAATTCATTCTTTAATACATACTCAGAGAGTAGGAACTTACTTTTGAGCTTCATGATGAATTACGTCACTGTCGTTCAAAAGCAAAGGAATACTCAACGAGATCTTGATAAGGCATCAAAGAAAGCATCATATAAAATGCAAACACCTCGAGAAATAGAACTGTAAGCATCAAAGGTTGATACAAGTACATTATTTTTTGAGGTACAAAAATATATATATATATATATATATATATATATATTATATATATATATATATATATATATATATATAAAGCATGTTTTTTCTGTACATACTCATATGTTGGTATTGAATATGGTTGGGAAGTTTACATTGTGCAGCACAACAACAGTAAAAGTGATTTTAAAAATGAATTTAAGGTAATTTTACTAGTTTTTTTTTATGAAAAATGTAATAATATTCATATATGAATATGTGAATATTCATATATGAATATGAGAATATTCATATATGAATATATGAATATTATATGAATATATGAATATATGAGTGTTGATATGAGTATTCTTATATGAATGTAAATGTGTAAATTTTGTTTTTGTATCAGGTTGGAATAAAAGCTGAAGAGAAAGAAATAAATTGCAGTTGTGAACAATTTAAGCATATGGGTGTTTTATGCAGACATGCTTTTACAATAATGATGAGATGTGGTGTTAAAGAAATTCCTAAAAGGTACATTTTGAAGAGATGGAGAAAGGATGTGATATCAAGAAATGATCGTTTTAATTTTGTTCAATCCGATTCAGGTGATTGTGAGAATGTAAAGCTAGTCAATGATTCATATTATAGTTTTAAATCATGTTTGGATATTGTAAGAGAGGACAAAAAGGGATTGGCTTTGTTTGCTGAGAAGCAACAAATGTTGTTGAAGGAATTTGAGAGTGATTATATTTCTCCTGGATTGAAAAGCAAGACAGATGGTGAAGTTGTATGCAAGCTTTTGGGTGTTACTATTTCTATTCCAGAAGAGATTAATATTCATGTTCCTGAAGTTCAAAGCAATAAAGGTTCTGGAATCAAGAAAAGAATTCTAAGTGCAGGTGAAGTAGCATATGAAAATTCTAAAAAGGAACATAGAATGTATTCAGGATGTGGAAAATGAGTTCCACACAATTTACGTACTTGTCCAGAAAGAGTTGGAGCTGCTAAATCAGCAAAAGACAGTTAGGGATTTTTTTCGTTTTTTTATTTTATTTTATGTTTTTTGGTTTAATTTATTATGAATATATGCAGATAAAAACAATAAACAATAATATTCATGTATCAATAATACACATTTATATTGATATGGTAAATTGATATGTTGATATTTGTTTTTAAATTACTATAAAATAAGTTATATGGATATTGTAAATTATTCATAAATGAATACAGATATAGGAAATTTGTTACACTAATAAATAAGTATATTCATATCCGAACTTTTTTATGTTAATATGTGAACTTTGTTATACTAACATATTAATTTGAACTTATTCATAAGTGAATATATCATATTCGTATTCATTTATGAATAAATAAAAATAAAGTTTGAAAATATTTGAATATAAAAAAAAGGACATAAATAAGCAAACTTATTTCTACTAATAAGTTAGTTATATTCATATATGAAATTTGTTATATTCATATATGAACTTTGTTATGCTGACATATTACTCCTAATTTAATCATAAATGAATATATCATATTCGTATTTATGTATGAATAAACATAAATAAACTTTGAAAATATTTAAATATAAAAAACTAACAGAAATAAGCGAAGTTGTTTCTAATACATAATCATTCAACACAAGATAATAAAAGTTGTTCATAAGCATTTCACAAAATATTAAAACGATGTTCAACAACATTTAACAAACCATTTAAAACTTGTTTCGCGGAATCATCTTACATGTACTTCAAATCCATTCATCTTCAACACAAACTATTATATAGCATCACACTTCAACATTCTTTCATCTTCACAAGCAATGATCAATATTCTTTTAACCTTTTTTGAATTGTTTTCATAGCCTTGTATGTATGATCAGTACGCACTTTGAATTCAACTTTTTGATATTTTTCAGCAAGATCCAACACCTTAGCCTTCAACATGTTAATTTCAGAAGTTAGCATTATTAGTGTATATCTTTGCCTGAGGTTCTCTAAAGTAGTTTGCTGAACTGCACTTTCTTTATGAAGACCTGATTTCCATTTTGAGAGTGGTTGTCCCATATAGGTCTCCATATGTCTCATTGCAAAGACCCCACAATCAACTTTGTTTTTAACTGTTCTCCATGACATTTCAAGTCGTTGGGGTTTGATACATTCTTTTGAGATTGCATTTGCTCTTGGATGATTTATTGCTTTAAAATATCTCACAAAGAAATTTTTCTGATCATTAAATAAAATAAAAGTTAGATATGTGATAAATTGGTTATTTTATGTTGTTGTGAATTGGGTACATACCAAAGGTTTCAATATTACTCTGTATTTTCCTTCATAATCCCCCTCAACTGCACTATTTTCTAGAATTTCAATTGACGGTAGACAATCAAAAAAATGTGAGCACTTCTAACAACTGGAAAGAATACATGTTTTTATGTATATAATGGTAAGTATTTTGTTGATAATATATATATATATATATATATATATATATATACACACACACACACATATATATATATATATATATATATATATATATATATATATAAACAATTTTAATTAACATACCATGTCAATATCTTTTATGTTCAAGATTTTTTTGTACCCATTTGTACTCTCATGAAAGTTCTCCTTGAATTTTTCATACTTTCTTTCATCAGGCAATGTTGAAGTTAGATAAGCAGTCTTTAACCAATATAATCATATGTGAATTTCAGTTGAATATATATAATTATGTTAAAGAATACATCATATTTGTATAATCATATGTGAATTTCAGTTGTAAAAAAATATAATATAAATGAATACATCATATTGGTCTACTCATTTATGAATAAGGAAGGAATTAAGTTTAAAACATAAACTTACACAAAATCCAACTTTCAAGAAGAGTTTGTATGGTGAATTCCAAAAATCCCTTTCCAGTTCTTGGTGGTTAAGTAAATCAGACGAAGTGTCTAAAACTTCTCCAAAAATCTATGTGTTTACATATAGACTTTCCATAATTGCTCTTTCTGTTATCTGACCAAATTTTGTCTGGACAACCACATCTCTGCAAATATATAATCAAAATGTCATAGATTATTATCTATATAATAATCATATATGAATGTATATAAAATAAAGTTACTTACGATGTATTGCCTTGTAAGTTGAACAACCATTCACAGACAATACTCTCCTGATGTGTCAGTTTGGGTTTTGAGTGTATTATTCTGCATTTGAAAGGTGATTTGAAAGCATCAACGAGCTTCTTCTCTCTTGGTTGATCCATATCATGCTTTGATGGTCCTACTTCAGTAGGAATTGATATAGAGATTGGATTTGGATTAAGAACATTTTTCTTTGCTAATCTGATAACAACCTTCTGATGGTCGTCTTTGATTTGTTTCTTTGTAAGTGGTTTTTTTTTGTGATGATTCATTAGATTTTTTACTTGAAGTTTGATCTGAATCTTGACTGAGACCTAGACTAAAGCTTGGATGAGTATTTGCATGCCAGGAGATTTATCATATAAATAGTTGTAAGTTAATTATAATATTTGAGTTTATATTTTGAAATGTTTATCCAATTTGTTACCTCATTTATTTCCTTTTGTCTTGTCAGCCTTTTCTCCTTTCTTGTTTTCATTTTTTGCCTTTTTCTTTCCTGAAAGATAAAGAACTGTGATTAAGTAATTCATATGTGAATAAGTAATGTATTCATTTATGAATAAGTAATGCATATCATTATTTATGAATAAGAAATATTAAAATTTTATTTTTTTATATTGCGTTATTTATTTGTGAATAATAAAACTTATTATATTAATTTATTAGTGATTCAACTATTTACCTTTATCTTCTGCATGTCCTTTCTCAGTTTATGTGTGTTTTTCTTCACCTCCATCTTTCGTGTTCTTAGCTTCTGTTCCTCCTTCATTTCTATCTTCAGAGTTTTCCTTGCCGGAAACATATACATTATATATGAATATTTTTTATTTTTTATTCGTTTATATAGTGTATTATTCACTTATGAATAGACAATGTTATTAAAAAACAATCAATATAAATATTGTAATATATTTGAAGTCATTCATTTACCTGTATCATCTCCCTTTGTTTTTTCAACTTTTGTTCCTTGTTCATGTACACCTTCTGATTTTTCCTTTTCTGCAAGAGTATTATTTTTACCTGTACTTATTGGTGACCCTGGTCAAAATTTAACAAACAAAATTGTTATTGTGTATTAATATTTTTACATATTTTTTTTAAAATAAAAGTAAGACAAAACTTACGTATATCAATATTATCGAAAATAGTTTTCATTTCAGGGTGATTCCAGATTTCATCTTCTTGACTATTTAAACTTGAAATTCCAATTCCAAGGACATTGTCCACAATGCAGTCAACAACTTTATCCAACAAATTTTCATTTTCAGTTTGTTGAATAGTCTCCTCATGATTATTTGTTTCCTCAGCATGATCATCTTTTTCCTCTTCATCATTCTCATTTTCATTTCTGTTTCCATCTTTCTCTTTTACTCCAATTTCACCTTCTTTTTTATTCTTATCTGCATCATTCTTTATTGCTTCATTCTCTGCTTCATTTGAATCAAGTAAATAATTTACTTCTGGTTGACTTGCATCATTATCACTATCTTCTACTCCATTTCCCTCTTTATCTTCATTTTCTTTTTGATCATTTGTTTTTTGACCCATTATTGGTGTCAAATTGATTCCTTTAACTCCAGTTTCATTACTTGGAAAATTAAAAAGTGTTGTGCTTTCAGTTTTTTCTTCAACAATCATATTTGTGATCTTTTCCTTGAAAATTCTAAAGCTTTCCTTTTTAGGGAACTTTATCATCTCAAAACTATTAATCATTTTTGATATTTTTGATTCATATGCCTATGTAAGAAAAAGAAGTATATGATTAGAATTTACTATAATAATTTAATGTAATCATATATTATTAACATGTTAAAACTAATTACCTCAACAGAATGATCTTCATCTTTGTCATAATCATTGTCTTCAAGATCTGTATCTCCTTCATCATGTTCGTCAACAAATTCTTCATTTATTTCTCCAAGTCCAAATCTACCTTTTTCTTGTTCAAATGCCTCCCGATATCTAATCTTCTCTGAACTCCAATAACAAATTGTTGGACGTTTACCTGTTACTGTCAAAGCTTTTGATTCGATGTTATCAGCATAGAACAATTGCACATGAATGATAACTAATTGATATTCATATATGAAGAAGTAATATTATTTTTTAATTATTCATATATGAATAAGTAATGTAAAGCATTACTTGTGAACAAATATATTTTTCTTATTCATATATGAATATTTGCTATTAGTTTATGAATAATCAATATTATTAAAAATTGAGTATAAACATTAAAATAACTTACCACCAAGAAAGCTGAAGGTCCAACAAAGAAGCTGGTATCTGAGAAGGTCCAACAAAGAAGCTGGTATCTGAGTATGGTATGCATGAGTTTGTTCTGACAAGACAGTCCAAAACATAGTTGCACCAGTCTATGTTGCTGATATATGTTCTTCTTGAAATATAACTCAACGGAAACAAGTTGCATCTTCCCATTGATGTTGACTCGCAAAACGTGTTGACAAAAAGAACTAATAATTTCAATTTGAAATTGAAATCAGCTTGTGTGGTAGAAACAATAACATTGTTGATTGCACTCAGTCGGATGATTGAATCTTTTTTAAATTGTTGCTTCCATTCATCATAACTTGTATCATCCTTAGGCCATTTATCCAGTTCTGTAAGTTTAGTTCCACCAATTGGTATGCCCAACATGTCATGAACAGACTCTACTGTTACTTTCAGTTCCTTTCCTTCAATATCTATCACCATTCTCTCAGAATCAAATTTTGAAGAACATAAAATCCCAGCTTCAGTGGTATATCTGTGATTTTTATTTTTAACAAAGCTCCAAAACCCACAGATCTTACACATTATTTTTGTTCTTTGCTCATCCCAAGGATTATAGATAGTAATGCCTCAGGTGAACATCTGTTTTTCATTGAGTAAACTTCTTTTACCATTGTTTTTTTTTGTCTTTTTTTATTGGTGACTCCTTTTTTTTTTTCCTTTTTCGATGGATGACTACTTTCAAAATCAGAATCAGAATCTTGTAATTGTTGTTTTTCAGGAGTTTTCCTTTTTAATGGAATTTTTCTACTTTGATGCTTTATTTTCTTTGGTACTTTTGTTTCTTTTTTATCTGGGAAATGAAAACACATAATATTGGAATAAGTTACTAATATATGAATATGATATATGCTCGTTGATTTATTAATATTTATTTATTAAAAAAATATAAATAGTATATACAATTCAATTCATCTATGAATATATTAGATATGATATGAATTTTGTACCTTTTGCATTTTTCCTCTTTTGCATTGATCTTGTTTCTCTGATTGTTATTGAATATTTATCAGAAATGTTAATGTTCTTACATTCATTCAATAGTAAGTAGAAGGTAAATAAGTTTGATATTTAGGAATGAATAATTTAATAAAACATATTTATACATATATTTATTCACATATGAATATGTTTTGTTATATTCATATGTGAATAGAACATATATAAGTCATTCTTGTTGTATTCACATTTGAATAGTGTATGTATGGCAGCAAGCTATATTCTATTCATATGTGAATACAACATACATATTCACAAATGAATATTTGAAGAAAACATATGTATTGATATTTTTTTATTCACATATAAATATGTTTTGTTATATTCATATGTAAATAGAACATATGTAAGTCATTCTTGTTGTATTCACATTTGAATAATGTATGTATGGCAACAAGCTATCTTCTATTCATATGTGAATATAACATACATATTCATGAATGAATATTTGAATAAAACATACGTATTCATATTTTTTTTATTCACATATGAATATGTTTTGTTATATTCATATGTGAATAGAACATATGTAAGTCATTCTTGTTGTATTCACATTTGAATAATATATGTATGAAAACAAGCTATTTTCTATTCATATGTGAATATAACATACATATTCAATAATGAATATATGAATAAAACATATGTATTCATATTTTTTTATTCACATATGAATATGTTTTGTTATATTCATATGTGAATAGAACATATGTAATTCATTCTTGTTGTATTCACATTTGAATAATATATGTATGACAACAAGCTATCTTCTATTCGTATGTTAATATAACATACATATTCAGGAATTAATATTTGAATAAAACATATGTATTCATATTTTCTTATTCACATATGAATATGTTTTGTTATATTCATATGTGAATAGAACATATGTAAGTCATTCTTGTTGTATTCACATTTTAATAATGTATGTATGGCAGCAAGCTATCTTCTATTCATATGTGAATATAACATACATATTCAAGAATGAATATTTGAATAAAACATATGTATTCATATTTTTTTATTCACATATGAATATGTTTTGTTATAGTCAGATGTGAATAGAACATATATAAGTCATTCTTGTTGTATTCACAGTTGAATAATGTATGTATGGTAGCAAGCTATCTTCTATTCATATGTGAATATAACATACATATTCACGAATGAATACTTGAATAAAACATATGTATTCATATTTTTTATTCACATATGAATATTTTTTGTTATATTCATATGGGAATAGAACATATATAAGTCATTCTTGTTGTATTCACATTTGAATAATGTATGTATGGCAGCAAGCTATCTTCTATTCATATGTGAATATAACATACATATTCACGAATGAATATTTGAATAAAACATATGTATTCATATTTTTTTATTCACATGTGAATATGTTTTGTTATATTCATATGTGAATAGAACATATGTAAGTCATTCTTGTTGTATTCACATTTGATTAATGTATGTATGGCAACAAGCTATCTTCTATTCATATTTGATTAATGTAAGTGAGTCTTGTTGTATTCACATTTGATTAATGTATGTATGTGAATATAACATACATATTCAGGAATGAATATTGGAATAAAACATATGTATTCATATTTTTTTATTCACATATGAATATGTTTTGTTATATTCATATGTGAATAGAACATATGTAAGTCATTCTTGTTGTATTCACATTTGAATAATGTATGTATGGCAGCAAACTATCTTCTATTCATATGTGAATATAACATACATATTTACGAATGAATATTAGTTTTGCTTGTGTTCAGAAGTAAACAAAACATATTTTATTTACCTTTTTGATTTGTTCTTGGTTTTCGTTTAAATGTATTCTTCACTGTTGGTGTTGTTTCGATAAGGCTAAGTAGTTAATATTAGGAAAACGTAAGCGAAATGTTAAGTAACCTTTGTATTTTGACAGAATAGTTTTGAATAAAGATGAAAAATGAAGAGATGATGTAAAATCATTTATATATCAAATAATAATGGATAATTCTTACAAAAATTTCAAGTAAATAAAGTAATAACGAAGGAGGGTTACGAGAATGAATGAGTATCATAAATTTCAAGTAAAATTGAAGTAAACAACCTTTTTTTGAAGAATGAACAGCGTGAAAACAATCTTTTTAGTTCTAAATCAACTAATAATTTTCGAAGATTACGAGAAATTTCAAGTAATCAAGTGATAATTTTAGAAATGATTCGAAATCGTTAAAAACTCGAGAAAAAACGCCGATGGTTACCTTTCATTGTCAAGAGTGAGGAAGTGGTCTCGTTCATGTTTTCATCAGCAAACATTTTTCTTTGTTTATGTTATTTGATGCTTCTGCAAATGGTTTTCTTCTTATCGATTCTTGTGCAAATGGTTTTCGTGTTATGGTGTATCGAAGAGGGAAATAGTGCTTTTATGTCGGGATTTGACGTGATATCAAATTACTCAAGTGCCCTGACGGTTTAATGTTTTTGGATTATTTACAAATTTGTCACCGCTCATTAATGTATTTGGATTATTTACAAGTTTGCCACCGTGCATTTTTTAAGCTTATTAAATGATTGGATGAGAATGGTTCCCCCATTCTCAACCTTTGTTTTTTTCTCAATTGAACCCTCCTCTCTCTCTCTCTCTCTATATATATATATATATATATATATATATATATATATATATATATATATATATATATAGGATATATTCTGGACAAATCATTTTAGTTATTTTAAGAAAGTAACTAAAAAGATTGGCCCATAATCAATCGAGTGTGTGTGTGTGTGTCTATATATATATATATATATATATATATATATATATATATATATATATATATATATACATTTTCTATTAGTAAGGAAGAAGGCTACATCAGTCTACCATGTCGGTAGTATTTCCAAGGTAGAGTGTCACATGGGAATGTTACCTGTTAAATAGGTTTAAAATGACTAAATTGCAAGTATTCGCTTGTTTCTTGGATTTCTTCATTTAAAATATGGGACATTTTTTGTAAAATTTCCAAAAATAATAAGACTTTTATGAAGTTTACAGCAAGAACAATCATTGCAAAAACATTTATAAAAAAAACTATTCATCGCTTTCCTTTCTAAAAAGACAAAAGGACATAAATGGTCTATGTCACATGGGGAATATTCCTAATCCAACTTGAAAAAATGGACATCGCCCATCCCCATGGTTTGTTGATGTAACATCCAAAACCATAAGGTAAAAATTTTATTTTTTTTAATTCAACCCATAAACACTATTTATCTATATCAACCATTCAAAAGTATATCATAGTAAAAATGGTTATCATATTACAATCTCAAAATCATAACGTGCGGAAATATAGGCGGATACGCTGCGATCAAGCAAGGCCTTTCCCTTTCGAACTGGAAGTACCTGAAACCATAACCATAAAATTGTAATCACAAAGCTTACTGAGTTCCCCAAAATACCCCATACCATACATATATAATAGTAAAAAACATAATTGGGTCTATTTCACCCCCCTTCGGTCTCTTTCAACCGGTACAAGGTCTAATTCACCGCCTTCATCCTCTTTCAACCGGTATTGGGTCTATTTCACCTCATTCGGTCTCTTTCAACTAGTAGTTGGTCTATTTCACCACATTAGGTCTATTTCAACCAGTATCGGGTCTATTTCACCCCCTACAGCTAGCATACATCCATATCAGTAAGAGTCACAAAGAAAACAAGAACATATAGGCATAACAGTAATTGTCACAAAGACAACTATCATCATACAAACATAATCCAATAGTCCGACATTGGTGTCTTTAACCCACGAGTATAGTGAAGAGTCTCACCTCAATCTAGAGATAACCAAATCGCAAACAATGCTGCAACTGGGCTCCTCCCACTTAACACATCCAAATTGTCCCTAATCAAATCAATAATTAAGGCAATACTCTAAATCCAAGGCCTAATTCACATTTTATCATTCCAATAGGAAAAAGATCTTTTTACCCTTCCCATATATATGACGCAATAACTCAAGGCCCATTATGGCACCTTGGTGTGTACATCCCGTGTACCACCTCCGTACCCCCGACGTACGGTGCTTAAACCATAACTCCATTCTTAGGACTTATTCTTGTAATTCCCCAATTCACTTGTGTATCAATCAGATCCGCTTGATGGTGCAGAATCCCAATCAAGCAGATGAATCAAATGTATTGATGATATGAATTTTAGATCGAGTGATTTTAGCCGAAACAATATAAACATGAATCGAAGATCTTGTTATTAGTAGTGCAAGGATAAAAAGATAGACGAAAACGGACGTCGGATGAAGAAGTTATGAATTCTTAACGGAGTTTTCCTGTCTCGACCTACTAAAAATTATATAATAAAAATAAAGTCAAAATTACAAGACAGAGTCTAAACA